AGTTTATACATTTTTGCGTATACATCTACGAGCACCGGTTGGTAATTATTGTACAATCGGATTACGAACAACCCGTCGGATCCCGAACGTTACCGTCCCGCGTCGTTGGGCTACTCCCACGCCCCTTTGAACCGCTCGTTTAGACCGTCCACGTGTCTTAGCGTGTTGGACATTCGCCCACGCAAGCGCGGGTGGGACCGACATCTGTTGGCGCACTTTTTGGGGTCAACAACCACTTCACTTGATTTCCGTCCTAATCATAATGATTCAGCTTTACCTCACAGACATACAGTTGTTGGTCATGTTTTGCTCTCTATATATATTGATGACATGATTATTACTGGTGATGATACTGATTAGATTGCAGCACTAAAGTCGGAGTTAGCATGTTGTTTTACAATGAAAGCTTTGGGTTCACTTCATTACTTTTTGTTCTCTTCATATGTTGATGACATGATTATTACTGGTGATGTTACTGATGGGATTATAGCACTAAAGTCAGAATTAGCTTGTCGTTTTGCAATGAAAGTTTTGGGTTCACTTCGTTACCTTTTTGGTATTGAAGTTGCATCTTCTCAAAAATGTTATCTTCTTTCTCAATCTAAGTACATAGTTGATATATTTGAGCATGCTCGTCTGACTGATAATAAGATTGTCGATATGCCTCTTGAGCTTAATGCTCGATATTCTTCTTCTGATGGTTCTCCATTATCAGATCCTAGTTTATATCGTACTATTGTTGGTAGCTTGGTTTATCTCACAGTCACTCATCCAGCTATTATACATGCTGTTTATATAGTTAGTCAGTTTGTTAACTCGCCTACTGGATTTCATTGGGCCATTATTCTTCGCATTTTGAAATATATTCAGGTTTTAGAGTCTTTTACGTTCCTCTACTTCTTCATTAGAATTGTGAGTATATTCTGATGCTGATTGGGCTAGCGATCTTGCAGATCTCTGGTCTACCACTGGCTTTAGTATCTTTCTTGACAATTCTCTTATTTCTTGGAAGAGCAAGAAACAAGATACTGTTTCTAGATCTTTTATAGAAGCAAAACATCTTGCCATAGCTTCTACCATTGTGAGATAGTTTGGTTACGTTGGTTGCTTGTAGATATGGGCGTATTTCTTCGTCAGCCCAATCCATTGTATTGTGACAATAATAATGCTATTCAAATTGTGACAATTCAATATTCCATGAGAGGACTAAATATATTAAGATTGATTGTCACGTCACTCGACATCATAATCTGCTTGGCACTATAACATTACCTTTTATTCCTTCCACCATACAGATTGCTGACTTGTTTACAAAGTCATATTCTATTTCGCGATTTTGGTTTCTATTGGTCAAACTCTCGATACTTGTTGCAGCGGTATCATGAGTTTGAAGGAAATGTTATATATATTAATTTTGTATCAATGATAGATTAGTCATTTTATTTATTTGCTTGGACTATTTAAATTTATTTTCCTTGTATTTTATTCATTTAATTAAAAGAAACCCTTGCCTGTCTTTTCTTTTTCTCTCTATATTTTTATATAATTAGTTTAACAATTAAATGATTTGTGCAACATATATACAAAGTAAATATTATTTATTAAACAACAAAAACAATGTCAAACTTATTCCTCAAAACTATACAGCACATCCCAATAACATCTATCGTGTTATGTAGGGATTAGTTTTACTGATGGCTACTATTCAGACTCATCACCGAGTTTTTATCAAAACTACTTATTCAATTTGACATTCATTTTTTTTAATTGAAAATCTTACATATTTATGTGTCAAGTCGTCAAATGATTAGGATTTTTCAGCTAAATCCAAAAGTTCTAAAAAGTGTGAGGCATAGCAATGCAGCATGATCAACTCTTATATACCTAGGCATGCTCGGGCGAAACCTACGCATAACGAGATGTTTCTTTATTATTTTTATTATTTTAATTATAAATAATTATTTTTATTATTTAGTTTATTTAATCCATATTTGGTGGAAATTCAAATTCAAATTCAAATTTAATACAAAAGCAAGTAAATTAAGCACACAACATAATCTTCTAACATAATAGAAATCGGACCGTCTTATTTTTAATTAGGTCATACCCATTCTCAATTTTCACTTTTAGAGTCTCTAGATTCGGTTCCTAGGTTCTACACTACAATTATTTTTTTAATATTTACAAAAGCTACATTAATTCAACTAGTGACATGTTCAATTTTAACTCTTACAAAATAATGTAGTCTAATCTTATATATCTTTTGCGTCCCTCTTTGTTGAGTTTTTCATAGATTTAATTGTTAAAATCACAGAAAGGGAAGGATAACGAGCTTAAAATAATTAAGAGAGGCGTTGTCAAGCTTTAATTCGATTTCTCTAGAATGGTAAAAAAGATACTACGGTGAAATAATCAAGCAGGGGGGACAGGGTGAGGGGTTGACTCCAACGGAAGGACAGGGTTTCAAACCTCCTTGACCGTTCACTTGAACACGCTCCAATTGAATCTAAGTAAACAAGGACAAACTTATGTCAATTTGATTAAGTTTTGCTTGGACTGAAAATTAGAAATAATAAAAATCATAAATTTCGGATTGAGCTAAATTAACTAGTTAACAAATTTATTTAGAAAAAAATAAAATAATTTGACTTATTTAAAATAAATAAATTAAAAAATTAGGGAGATTCGATTTTTGGGTTCTTGATTTAAAATTGAGAATCGAATCAAACCATCGGTTTTTGATTCAGATACCCATTCAGATATGTAACTTAAAGAAGAACCACTCGGTTTGGGTCCATTCGGTTCGGGAGTTTTGCCTAACCCATTGGCACTATAACATTATCTTTTGTTCCTTCCACTATATAAATTGATGGTCACATTCCACTTCGTGATTTTGTTTTCTGTTTAGCAAACTCTCGATGCTTCTTGTAGCAGCATCATGTGTTTGAAGGTAGATATTAAATATAATTATTTTGTATTAAGGGTATATTAGTTATTTTATTTATCTGCTTGGAATATCTAAAGTTTACTATCCTTGTATTTTCATTCATTCAATTAATCAAGATACCCTGGCCGCCCTTTTCTTTCTCTCTCTATTTTTTATATTATTAGTTTAACAATTAAATGATTTGTGCAACATATATACAAAGTAAATATTATTTATTAAACAACAAAATCTATATCAAACTTATTACTTAAAAAAAAGTATACCTTTAGAGCACATCCCAGTAACATCTATAGTGTTATGTAGGGATTAGTTTTACCGACACCGAATTTCATCAAACCTACTTATTCAATTTGACATTCTTACCTATTCAATTTGACATTCTTTTTTTTTTAGTGAAAATCCTACATATTTATGTATCAAGTCTTCAAATGATTATAATTTTTAGCTAAATTCAAAAGTTCTAAAAAGCGTAAGGCATGCCAATGTGGCATAATCAAGTCTTATATACCTAGGCATGGTTAGGCGCAGCCTACGCATAACAAGACCTTTCTTTATTTTTAATGTTATTTTAATTATTAATAATTATTTTTATTAATTAGTTTATTAAATTGGTAGAAATTAAAATTTTAATCTAAACCAAAATTAACAACTAATTTTAATCACATATTTTATGAGCCCACAACTTTTCAAACATACATTCCTTCCACTTTTATCCAAATCTATTAAAAAATTGATTTAATCCCTACCAAACTGAGGTTAAGTATAAAAATGAGAAAATGAAAAGGCAGCTTTTGGCGCTTGGACTTACATTAGTCACATTGTTTAGCCCTAATTAAGCCCACATTTATTGCACCCTTTGACGCATATTCTCGGACTATAGGTGGTCAAAATAGAGTTGACATCCTTTTTTCATGTCTTTTCCATATGCGCCTTCATCACGCCTCTTTCCTAGGCTCGGCCTTTTCCTACTTTCTAGAAAGCTACTAAATCCTATGCCTTCGCGCACTCTTAATTATCTATTAAAAAATGGATGCCAAATTGAGTCAGTGGTTTGAAACATTTGGCATTTTTTTGGTTTAGCTAAAATCTATAAAAATTAATAAAATACGTGATTGCGAAGTTGATAAAAGCTTTTAATTTCATAAAATCGTGGTTAAAATTAATTACTATCGTTGACTTAGATTTTTATTAAATTTTGTAGTTAAACCAAACAGGTCCAATGATTGGAAACAAATTAGAGTGCAGTGACCAAGGTGACAACGAGTGCAAAGTTCCTTGGCCATTGGTAAATTCACCACAATTTTATTCTTTTCGTCAATTGCTATTTTGCTAGTTTCGCTATTACAAAGCAACAAGTTTGACGACACATGAAATATATTTCAGGATGTCCCATTAATTTGTCTGTTTCATGATTCTATTTTTGATGCACGCATATATTATTTATCAGAATTAGATTATTCAGATTTGATTTATACTCTTTGCATAACGAGGCATTATATTCCATCACAAGGCCACTCTTCAAACATATTCATGAATAGATAACTTACACAATGTGAACAAATATATAAAACTTTGTAGTACACTAAAAACACTTTGGAGTCATGTGAACGATATATATTTTCTTACCAAAAAAAAATAAAAATAAAAAAGTCACTTTGAGATAAAATTAATACTAATCCAATAAAAAGTTATGGGTTAGTTATAAATGGAACAAATTTCTTAGATTTTCTTAATTTGCTGGCCCAACCGATAGTATTTCCGCAGGCCATGATTTTCTTAATTTGCGCACAACCATAACTGAATCAATATTGCCAGTTACTGTTAATTTCTTCTCCTTGACGTCCATATGCAGAGATTCAACCCCTATATGAGGAGGTAGATTAATGATACGATCATTGAGATATATTTGTGCAATAAATGTTGGGTATGTAGCACTAAGTGGTAACAAAAATAGAAGCATGAAAGAAAATTTAGTACCTGAAAAGCCAGAAACTAATTTCATGGCTTTCTGCTTCTCTTTTTCATTACGAATTCCTAGTTTTATGACCATCTTCTGAACCTAGAATGCAAAGAAAAGTCATTGAAGAATGTTGTAACATACAAATGCACTATGGTAGCTAGAGATCTCGGGATTTGTGTGGATGTATATCTCAATAAAAAAGTGGCATACAATTATAGGACGAGGAATTTATTTACCTTTGATATTGTATTGCTTCCACTAGGATTATTTGATTCTTTCTGGATAGGTTGGCAGGTTAATCAAAAACAAAATATTAAGAAAGTAACATACAAATATAGGATGGAAAAATTGATTTACCTTTAACCGATCAAGTTTGGTTTCCCTTCTATAGAATTGACCTGACTCATCTTGCTGGATCTGTAGGCATTGTGATCAATATGATGTATCTAAAAAATAACATAAAATAAATAGGACGAGGGATTGATTTACCCGGTGTTTTTACGGATGCAGTCTTTCTTTTGTTTGATGGAAAAGAACTTCAAGGACTTCATTTCCTTGGTCCCGCTGTTCCTCAAGCATATCCTTTGCTGATTTTACGACGGAGGGACTGGAATTATCTATCTCAATGATTTTAAGGGTCTGTATTTCTCCAATATCGGATGGGATCTCTACCAATTCTGAGCACTTTTGGAGGATTAGGTGCTCAAGCCTTGGAAAATGAGTGCTGTCCGCTCCCCACTGCTCCAAATCTGTCTCCCAAATTAGCAAGAATTTTAGTTTGAGAAATTCTCCTTCAGTTGGTACCCACTCTGGGCCAGAGAAGGCAAACTCCCGCAATTTCAGCACTTCAAGATTGGGCAACTTGCCAAAAATCGTCATGTTTTCCCAATCAATTCTACCGTTTTCTAGAGTTATCTTTTTGAGCCCTGGAGAAGAAGTGATGCTTCGCAGGAAAATTGAATTTGACTGCGTTTCAAAGAAAATTTTTAATGTTTCGAGTTTTTGGAGATGCACATCAAAGACACTCCACCTACCATGACCGTAAATAATTCCCAATTTTTTTACGTTAGGAATTTTTTCAAGGGAGTCTTTTGACATTCCTAAATCTTCTACATTTGATAGTGTCTCCAGGTTTTCTAGAACGAAAGTTTTATCACTATCCGTTAATGGGAGAGATAAACAACGAAACAGGGAAACTCGAGAGAGTTTGAGATGCCTCAATTGTGGCATATTAAATATTTCCTTTGGCATGTAAATTGTAATTTTCCAAGGATCTTCAACAACTAAAGTCTGTAGATTCTTAAGGAAGGCAATAGAAGGAGGAATTACAAGGTCGCGACAGGTGATTGCAATGTACCTCAAATTAACTAGTCGAAGTATTTCATCGGGGAACTTTGTAAGCTCTACTCCAATCATATCCAATACCCTCAGCAGTCGACAACCAAAATAATAATAAGAATGCAAATGAGTATCGTCCCAGCCACTATATATAAAGGAACGGACAACGGACATTGATTGGATTGTCATGTCTTCCTCATTGGGACTATATGAAGCAGCATCATGAATGCATTGACGTCGCAGCAAAATTTCCTTCTCTGGAACGAAATTCCTGCTCCTCACACAAAAAAATTCCTCCTCATAAGCCATCCTCACGCAGAGCTCTCTCAAAAGACCATGCATGATACAGGTTTTAACTTTTCCATTAATAGACCCTTTTTGACGAACCAAAATAAGATTTCTATCAATAAGATCCCCAAGATATTCCTGCGCAACCTCTTCCAAGTGTTTAGATTCACGTGGCTTTAGAAATTCCTCAGCGACCCATAACTTAATGAGTCTAGAGACTGGAATTTCATAGTTTTCCGGGAAAACTCCCATATAGAGAAAACATGCTTTTAAATGGGCAGGCAAGTGTTTGTAACTAAGAGAGAATATTTCCAAGCACTGGGCATCTTCCTCTGCTACAAATGAGCTTAAATTTTCAGCAACGTACTCCCAGAAACCATTTTCCTTATTGACCTTTGAGAGGAGTCCACCAGTCACCACAATTAATAATGGAAGTCCTTGACAATTTTTCGCTATCTTTTTTCCAACATCCACCAAATCAAGAGGGCATTCTTCTTTGCCGAACACCTTTTCAACAAATAAATTCCAACTTTCTTCCTCATTAAGAAATCGCATCTGGTGATGATCATTAGATGAGTTGATGTAATCAGCCACATCTTTTAGCCTGCTTGTCAATATGATTCGACTTCCAGTTTTATCATCTGGAAATATCATTTTTATGTCATTCCAAACCTCGATACTCTGTACATCATCCAAGACAATTAGGTACCTCTTACCCTTCAGATTTTTGAATACTTGTTCTTTTAATAGATCATTATCTTCTTTCCGTATGAGATCGGTAAGAGCAAATTCATCTAGAAGGGTTAGAAGAATGTCTCGCATGCGATATTGTCGAGATAATGTTACCCAAGCACGAATATCAAAGCGATACCTGATTAATGAATCATTAAAAACATTCATAGTGAGGGTAGTCTTACCCATGCCCCCCATTCCAACAATGGGAATGATTTGGAGTTTACGTCGTTCATCACAGAGCCTCTCCTTTATCTGCATCAAGTCTTGAGCAAATCCCACCATATTAGTCTGGCCACTAGGAGCAGGTCTTGATGGAAAAAAATTCCTTGGCTGAAGTATTTGTTCGCCCCTCACATCCTCGATCTCCTTCACCTCTTCTACAATCGTATCGATTTCTGCAATTATTTTCTGCAAGTCTAGACGATACTTTTTAGCAGATAGCTTATTTGAAGAAAAATAAAATAGTTTTTGAGGTTTTGGAAGAAGATGATCCGATATACGGAACTCAAGGACATCTTCTGCACGATAAGCCGCGTCTCTGATTTTTCTTTCCAGTGATTTCACTTCTTCCCTGCTACTTTGGAAAGATTCTTCAAGAAAATTCAGTAGTGAACTGAGCTTTTCGAAGAGAGGTACAAGCAGTTGATTTTGATAAGGATCCGAAACTCCATCTCCATGGCGGATCTGCTCAACAGTGTGCAAAAGAGAGACGACAGCAGCATGAGCCATGAAATGATTTGGGGTATTTTCACGTGAAATGAATAAGCATTGAGTTGCTGTTAATTGAATTGGTATTTTCTCTGTAAGTGTCACTTTGATATTTCAATATCTCCTTTTTTTTCTCTCACATGAAATTTCTATGTGCTTTCTGATCTCTTTGTTCAGCATTATTTTGGGCGAATATATATATTTATTTTAATTGTCTAATAGTGTGTAGTCAATTATTAAGTGACACAATGATGTAAAAGATAATGTTTATGTGGCGTGATTGAACTTTTCTCACGCCAAGATAACTTTCCCAAATTCCAAGATGATAAGCATCAAGTTTTTATACATTCCAATAATGTTATTTATTTTGTTTTTTTTAAGAAATACTTATTATCTTGTCTTAATCTTTTATTTCACATATTCTTTTAAATGTTTATTGATCAATCAATTTTAATATGGTTTGAATAATTTGAGAAGTAAGAATATTAAATATTTAAATTATTAAATGCAGTCGTAAACTTCATAATCGCTATAATTATTCTTTTATTTTAAGCAGAAATTGGAAGCTATGCTCTTTGAAAGAAAGGGAAAAAAAAAAGTTTTGCGTTTCATACAAACTTTATGTTATATAATTTAGTGTATCTAAAATTAGTACAATAAACGTGAAATCAAAACTATGCGAGGAAAATAGGTGATATGAATGGTTTTATCTTTTTACTTGTGTGTACATTTTTTATGAATACCCTTCTTGGCCCCCTTTCTTTCAATTTTTAGTATTTGTTTGATTTTCATTCTTCTAAAAATTCTTTTTTTTTTTTTCAAAATTTATCTTCAACCACACATTTTTCAAGAAAATAATATTACAGGTAAATTCAAAATATTTTTTAATTTTTAACCACACGTTCTTTATTAATTTACTATTTAAAATGTATTATTTTCTACAAAATGGGATCAAACAAGGGCTTAATGTATGTAATGGTATTTTTTTGGGAGAATGTGTAATAGGTAAAAAAATTTCAATCTATGTATAATATTAATTTATTGAAAATTGTGTGGTTTAAAATAAGAGTGAAAAGAAAAAAAATAAAAATGAGGCTAAACAGTATTCCCCCAACCCCAATTAAAAACCATTAAATTTTCAACTTTTTCAAACAGTGCCGACCCCACGTCTCAATGATAGCTGTCAGAACAATAATTATTTGTTCACATCGGTGGTTTGACTACTAAGTTGATTAATGCAGAAAATGACATGTGTGTCCCTAGTTTTGCCATCTGGCTGAGTGATGGCAGGGGTAAGAATGGCATTGCAAGAGTAAAAATGGAGGATATATTTGTCAATGGGTTCCAAGGTTTAGTGGATTTTTTGGGATTCTCTGACATTTGAAATGATATGAACAGACGTTAATACAGCTGTATCCACCTAGTTGGGTTGAATGAGCTAAAATGTGGAATAACGAGAAACTTAATGGGGCCAAACGGAGGCTGAATAAGTAATTCACAATTTAAAGCGAAGCATCCAAGATAAAATTTGTAATGTTTCGGGACATTTGTCTTGAAAATTACTCAAACAACTCCTTTCCATGTAAGAGACGGTGATTGACTCATAGTGGATTACAAAATTTAAAGAATTATGTCGAATAAAATAAGTTATTTTATTGTATTATAAAATATCAATCCATTGCTAAAATATAAATCATGTACTTATTTTTCAACATCGATTTTGAAACTAAAATTCTGCTTACAAAGTATATTTCTAATTAAATATTAAATATTGAAATAAAAATTAAAATTTTTTATCCAACGTCACGGACACTATCAGTGGTATCAACCTCGAACTCCAATCAATCAAGCATTTGTACAAATGATTTAGTATATGCAATGAGCATATAAAAACACTCGGTACAAATTTCATGTCAATATTTTCATAATTTAATACAAAAGCAGGTAAATTAAGCACATAACATAATTTTCTAATATAATAGAAATCGGACCGTCTCATTCTTAATTAGGTCATACCCATTCTCAATTTTCACTTAGAGTCTCTAGCCTTATAGTTGATTTCTATATAGATCTATATAATACCCTATGGTATTACACACAAGATCTTTATTTAATTTGAATCACAGAATAACAAATAAAATAATTAACTTAAAACATATAAAAGTGAAAACACCAAACCGTTTGGCACATATAGAAATCCATATCTTGTTTGTTAAATTGCATATATACTTGAGCTACTCAGAACTGAAAATTCTTGCAAATGAATCTCATACGCGCTAAAAACTTAGAATTCTAATATGGCTCTTATTTAAAATTTAAATTTGACTTTCAACAAAAATACTTATCATGAAATTCGAATTTTTAAGAAAATTCTAACTACATGAGGATAAGATTCGAGTGTAGATATATGTAAATTTCAAGTTCTATTTAAAAACTTTTATATCATATAATTTCGATAATAATTTAATAGATATCCAAAATAATATTAAAATTTAGTTTCATGTAAAATTTGTATTTTCAATTATTAGGAATATTAGCACAAGGTACCTCGAAAATCGTAAAGTTGTTAAGTTACTCTAAAATCTCAAAACTTATATTTATATTTCATAATATATTGTATGTATTTTTGAGGTATTACTTCTTCCCCTCCTTAAAAAATTTGTCCTTGAAATTTACTTGGTTATTGAAAAGTTATGGATATTTAGCTTTAATATCTGCCTCGCATTTTCAAGTGAAATCTTCAATCCCGTGATTTCGCCACTGAACCTTTACCAATGGAATTTCTCTATTCTAAAGTATTCAAATCTTCCTATCCAAGGAGATTATTGGAACTTCCTCGTAAGTTAGACGTGGATTAATGTCTAACCTGATGATTAATTACATGGTCATGATCTGATACGAATTTTCAAAGTATAGGGTCATAGAAGACATTGTGTACCGCCGAAAGTTCAGGGAGGCAACGACAACTTATAAACCACGATTTTCACACGTTTCAAAATCTCAAAAGGTCCTATAAATTTTGGTCGTAGCTTTCCTTTTGCCAAATCAAATGTCTCCTTTCATATGAACTATTTTAGGAAAATTTTGTCACCAATCTCGAACTCAAGATCCTTTATCCTGTTATCTGCATAACTTTTTTCGATCTTAGACAATCTTTATTTTGGCCTCAATCTTCTTAATAGTTTGGACTGTTTCCTCAATAATCTCAAACCTAAAATCCTTCTCTCACTAACTTCATTCCAATGAGCTAGAGATCTATACCATTTACCATATAAAACCTCATAAAGGGCTATTCCTGTAGTAGTTTGATAGCTATTATTATGGTAAATTCTATCAATGGTAGATGTCCTTCCCAGCTTCCTCCGAGATCTAGGATACATGCTCAAAGCATGTCCTCAATAATTTGAATAATTCCCTTCAACTAACCATCTGATTGCAGGTAAAAAGCTATACTGAAGATTAGCTTAGTCTCCATTGCCTTGTACATACTTTTCCATAATTTTGAAGCAATCTCAAATCTCTATCTAATACAATAGAGACTAGGGTTTTATGTAATCTGATCACTTCTCTAAAATATATTTGAGCTAACTGATCCATATTAAAAGTTATTTTTACTGGTAAGAAGTGAGCTGACTTTGTCAATCCATCAATAATAACCTAGATTGCATCATTTCCTCTATTTGATTTTGAAAAACCAACTACAAAATCTATGTGATATGCTCCTATTTCCATTCAAGAATTTCAAGTTGATTTAATAATCCTAATAGTCTCTAATGTTCTGCTTTCACTAACTGAAAACCATGTACTTACTACTTATTTACAAATAGACATATTTCTCTTTTCATATTCCACCATTAAAATATGCTTTGAAGGTCTTTATACATTTTCATACCTCCAAGATTTGCTTCGTATGGGGCAAAATGAGTTTCTTCCAATATTTCTTTTTGTATCTTCTCATCATTTGGTATATATAATCTTTCTTTAAACATCAAAGTGTTATCTCTAGCTAACTCAAAATCCTTTTGTTTGCCCCTACCAACTCACATTTAATCTTTTACAGAAATGGATCACTATCCTGGCTTTCTTAATTCGATCTTGAATATTAGATTAAACTGTGAAGCAACAATTCATGCTGCAACATTTGTTGAAGGTGAGATCACCTCAAGTTGCAAGTGATCTATTGCAGGTGATCTATATCTTTCATCAATGATTTTTGTATAGTAGGTAAAGTTGCCAAATATCCTACTGTCTTCTTACTTAATTTGTCAGCAACTACTTTAACTTTTCTAGGATGATAATGAATGGCACAATCATAATCACATCATCGCCATCAGAAAAATCCTCAACAATATTGGTCTAGTCTGAATTCAATGATTGACCCCCATGATTTGCAGCTAAATTACCTTTAGCCTGTAACAAATTTCAATCTTTCCTAACATGTCCTTTCCTTCTACAGTAGAAGCAATACACATTGCAAAAGTTCACTTTCGATCTACCCCTCCGTCGATCACCATGAGATACCAGAGCATCCTCATCCCTAGATGTAACTCCAACCAAATGCTTCATCTTCTCTTTTGAGAATAAAGCATAGTAAGCGTCTTCAATGATAAGTGTGTCACAACTGTACAAAATCGTGTCCTGAAATGATGAATAAGAAGCAGACAACGAATACAACATGATCAAAGCCAGATCCTCCTCATCATACTTAACCTCCCATGCCCCGCCATGCGATGGGAATATAGCATTTGCTTTAGATACAATTTGCTCGTAAGATTTTTAGTCATGCACAACTGCTCTAGTTCTAACCACAAAGTAGCTCCATTTTATCCTTGAATACGTTCTGCAAGATGAATCTGCGATAGAGCCTTTCTGTCCTTCTGTTGCTTCTCCTCCATTGTCCAATTTGCTGGCATCTTATCAAAACCCATCAAAGTATCGTCTAAATTCATTTACATCAACACAGCCCTCATTTTTACTTGTTACGGCAAAAATCTTATATTATGATTCAATAGCAGAATGTCATATTTCAATGTAGTCATCTCTGAAAAAATCCCAACCAAATCACAAAGAACCTGTAGCCTAACTCTGATACAACTTGTTGGGAACAAGCAAGTTATCAGAATTGTTCTGATACCAATTGTTGATCCCAAAGGTGTTGCAAGAATTGAAATTAACGACCCAATAAGAA